TGTTTACATTGTCTAGCTCTACTTGCACCACTTGGCTCTTACCTCTACCCTCGTCTAAATTTAGCTTCTCTTTATCTGTAGAAGCTTTAAGCATGAATGCTTCATCAAATACTGCATCCCTACTTATCACCATCTTCCTTGCCTCTGGATCCCAAAACTTGTATCCCTTTACACCTTTAACATAGCCTAGAAAAATGCATTTTCTTGATTTCGGATCAAGTTTGGATCGCTGATCACTAGATACATGCACATACACCGGACAACCAAATACTCTCAATTCAGAATAATCAACTTCATTACCTGTCCAAACTTCCTCTGCAACTTTCCCATCTAGTGCTGCTCGTGGTGATCTGTTTATGACATGATATGCCATGTTCACTGCTTCTGCCCAAAAACTCTTCGAGAGCCCTGCGTTCAGCCTCAAACATCTTGCCCGTTCTGCAATTGTTCTGTTCATCCTTTCCGCAACACCATTCTGTTGCAGTGTCTTGCGAATTGTATAGTGCCGCTGAATACCATGCTCCTCACAAAATCTCAGAAACTGTGAATCTGTATACCCTGTACCGTTATCTATCCTCAGATACTTAATTTTTCTGCCCATCTGGTTCTCTACTTCTGCTTTCCATAATTTGAACTTGGCAAAGGCTTCAGACTTGTGCTTCATGAAATATACCCAAACTTTTCTAGAGAAGTCATCAATGAAAGTAATAAAATACTGATATCCATCTTTAGACAACTCCCTCACTGGTCCCCAAACATCTGAGTGCACATAATCAAGAATGCCCTCTGACTTGTGCTTTCCCATCTTGAAGTGTACTCTGGACTATTTTCCAAGTACACAAAATTTGCAGAAATTCAGCTTGCATGATTTTACCCCCTTCAACAAATTCCTCTTGTGAAGCTCAACCATGCCACGTTCTCCTATATGCCCCAGTCGCATATGCCATAGAAGAGTGTCATCTGACTCAGATTCTACTGTAGCAACTCCACCTACAACTGTATCCCTGAGTAGTTTATAGATATTCCCTTGTAGATATTCCCTGCTAATTTTTGACCCTTCATCACAATCATAGCCCCTTTCTTCACTGTTAGAGCCCCGCGCTCTGACTTATAAGAGTAACCATTTTTGTCTAAAGTGCCTAAAGAAATTAGATTCTTTTTCAACTCAGGTACATGCCTAACATTTTCCAAGGTCCTTATCACACCATCGAACATTTTAAATTTTATGGACCCCATTCCAATGACCTTACATGATGCATCATTACCCATCAGAACAGATCCAAAATTACCAGAATGATATGAATGAAACAAATCCCGATGAGGACACGTGTGATATGAACAGGCTGAATCAAGTACCCAACAGTCATTTTATTTTACAGAATTACCTGCAGAGACTGATAACATGTCTCCATCTCCAAAATCCGAGTCTCCTTCTGCAGCACTAGCTGAGTTTGAGGACCCATCACCTTTCCTTTCATCACTCTGCTTCTTATTCGGACAGTCTCTCTTAAAGTGGCCCATCTGATGGAATTGGTAGCACTTCACCTTTTTCTTATTTTAATTTCTAGATTTTGATCTTGTGTTCCCTCTAAAAGAAACACCCTTGTCCTTCCTTCTCCCACGATCCTGGTGGCCCTTTACGATCAACCCTTCACCCTGTGAAGTTTAACCAGTACGCAGTTTCTGCTGGTTGTAGGCTAACAGGGCTGATGTGACTTCCTCCAATTTGAGTCCCTTTACCCCACGTCAACGTGGTCACCAGATGGTCGTACGAAGGAGGCAGTGAGCACAACAAAATCATTACCTTATCTTCATCATCAAACTTGATTTCAAGTCGCAATATATCGCTGATGATTTGATTGAACACTGGTGTGTTGAATCAGATCCGTACCCTCCAACATCTTCAGCCCGTACAGCCGCTGCTTTAGATGCAGCTTGTTCGTGAGAGACTTCGACATATAACGACTCTCCAATTTCTCCCAAACCTCCGCTGGAGACTCAACATCCATGACGTGATACATGATTTCATCCGCCAAACAAAGCCAAATTGTACCAATTGCTCGCGCCTCGAGCTTTTCCCAATCAGCATCTGACGTACCCTCTAGTTTCTTCGCAGATAGTGCCTTCATCATCCCTTGCTGCGCCAACAAATCTTTCACCCTTCGCAGATAGTGCCTTCATCATCCCTTGCTGCGCCAACAAATCTTTCACCCTTCGCTGCCATAATCCGAAGTTCCCAGATCCGTCAAACTTCATCACATCAAATTTTGCAATCGAAGAACTCGCCATCTGAACCTAGCTCTGATACCAGTTGTTGGATTTTATGTGCAATATTAAAGAGATGAAAACGAAAATCAACACAAGAATTTTACGTAGTTCGGTGGTGTGCCTACGTCCACGAGAGCGAAGCGGAGATTTCTTTATTCAGTTGTGAAAAATAGGGTTACAACATATTATTTATACTAACCCTAGCCTGGGCCCATATAAAACTTTAAGGCCCGTACAGAAAATACCCCTGTACCGTACCCCCAACCCATTCAGCGTCCCTAACAACCAGACAGTAAATTAAACCCGCGCAAGGCCGATGCCGTCGCTCCGCTCCGTGCCGACATCAGCCCATTTGATCCAAGGCCTATGTTCTACTCTAGATGAGCCACATGCACAACAAAAAGAAAGATCGTACACCTTGGTCGGTTCAAATATTTGAGATTGATATTCAGTTTTAGTTGTTGTCACCTGATTGCTTATGTTATTTGAACAGGAAGAAAGATCGCCCTCCTTGGTAAAGAAGTTGCAGTCTATTTCGCCGGTGTCAAGTTCTCTCAGCCGAGAAGAAATGATGGAATATTAGACTGATAATTATATTTAGTTTGCAATTTTAATTCATATTTTAGGAAACATAATTAAGTTTGATTTAGTTTCTTTTATTATATATTTCTACTTAGAATAAAATCTTTTAAAACCCTGTATAAAGGGGCTTATGCGATGTAATTCAAACAACCCTTGGTTATGAAATAAATTGTATTTCTCCCCTCTTCTTGTCTCTTTTTCCCTCCTTTCTGCTCTTCTCTCCCCTTCCCCTTCTCATATAAATGTCTCATGGCAGCCGGTATCACATACACAATCAAATTTATCACTTAGGGTCAGCTTTATTTAGAAGATTGCATTCTGCATATGTCCATGTGTATACAAATGTCTATAAACTTCATAGTTCATACTAGAAGTCCTATCTGAATATTTTAATTTCCTCCAGTTAAAACAAGAATTTTCAGATGTCAATAGAGACGGTAGCTTTATTTAGAAGATTGCATTCTGCATATGTCCATGTGTATACAAATGTCTATAAACTTCATAGTTCATACTAGAAGTCCTATCTGAATATTTTAATTTCCTCCAGTTAAAACAAGAATTTTCAGATGTCAATAGAGACGGTGGGGGAACGGTGGCCAGTGCCTGTAAATCCACAATTGGTCCTTCATAGGAATTACAGACGTTGAACCCTTTTCTAGAATTGCATCCTTTTTGGTACCACAAATACAATACTAATGACAAACTGGAGCCCCACCAGGTAGCGGAGAGTTGTTTCGACAAAAACCCAGCATACAATCTAATTTCACAAGACAACCTCCCCTCTTGCATGGGTACCATTCTGCACCTATACCCCTTCCTAGACCCAACAATGGCTGAACCCTCTCACGCTGCATACACCACATATTACTTCAAATACTTAACATTCCTGAGATTTTCACCATACATTAAGTATAGAAGTTATTGGGTAATTATTAAATAATGCAGAATTACACTACCTTGTGTGCCTGTAAATGAAAAAAGTACTCACAATGAAAGGAACAGGAGCGTCAAGAAAATCAAGCATCTTCCCTGGCAGAATCTGCAGAGGAATTAAAACGGAAAAGTAGAAAGAATTGCAGATGTGAGCAGAAAATCTTGCTTTAACAGTCACAATCAATAATAATAATAACAGTCACAATCAATAATAATAACTAAAAAACTAAGAATAACTAGAATCAGGAAACCGGATAACTGAACCAGGACATATGCCAACCTTCGAATCCAACCATCTGTGGCCATCTAGAGAACCTCAGATGGTATTCACAGCAAAAGTTCAAAAATCAGAAATATTAATGTTCAGAGCGGTAAAGTGTGGATGAATTATAATCTTACACTTGGAATTTGGAACCATTGAATTTGGTTTTGGCTAAAGAAATCGTAATAATAATAATAGAATAAAATCATTTAAAATCTAACCAAACTTTTAACTTAGAAAATTTCAAGGCTTATGTAGGAAAAATGGAAATAATATAAATTATAGATTGTAATTTTAAGTTAATTGGTAGGGTGAATTACTTAATTAGCAGATTTTATTTTCCTTTTTTTCTCCTCTGTGTAATATAGATAAGATGTATTGGTGATGTAAATATTCATTGAGAAATATATCAAATTTTCCCCGTTCATATGGTATCAGAGCCACGGCTCTTCTAATTTGCCAAATCCATGGCGGAATTCCCCACCAACAACAGGGAATCAACCACCTCTGAAACATCTCACTTCAAGGCAAAGGCCATACCCTCAATCGGCTCCAATGGCTTCGAAAATTCCTCCTTCCAACTTGAATGGGAGAAACTTTCGAGAATGGGCCCAATTCATAAAATTGGTAATTGACGGAAAGTGGAAGCTAGGATATCTTACCGGCGAGACATGTAAACCAACAGATGCAGCCCTCCTTCAAAAGTGGAAATCTGAAAATTCCATGGTGACTGCTTGGCTCGTGAATCCTATGAAGCCGTCAATAGGGAAGACATATATTTTCCTTCCAACCGCCAAAGATGTCTGGGACGCTGTGAAGGAAACCTACTCTGATTCTGAAGATTCATCACACATCTTTGAAATCAAGACTCGATTATGGCAGGCAAGACACGGACCTCGAGATGTTACTGATTATTACATGGAGATGGTTACACTCTAGAAGGAATTAGACCTAAGTCTCGAAGAAGAATGGACGTGCTCGTAGGATAGTGCACTGTACAAGAAAAAATAGGAGAATGAAAGGTTCTTCGAGTTTCTTGCGGGATTGAATCGAGAGTTGGATGATGTTAGAAGCAGAATACTGGGTCGACACCACCATTGCCGACTTGTGAGGTCTTTGCTGAAGTTCGAGGAGAAGCTTGCCGGCTAGTAATGTTGAAAGAGACCTCGAGATCGTCTGGGTCTTCTGGAAAGATATCGGCCCTGAGTGTGAAGGATAATGGGCCTTATAATATTAAATCAATTGGGCCTGGGCCTTTAGGTTCTGGGTCTGGAACATTAAAATCAAATGGATTAGAAGTTATTGGGCCTTCCATTGTAAATGGAGCATTGGGCCTATCAACAAAAGGAGTTCCAAATGGGCCAACCCAAAAAGGAGGACGACCTTGGTGTGAACATTGTCGCAAGTCAGGGCACAGAGAAGATATATGTTGGGAAATTCATGGGAAGCCCACCAATTGGAAACCAAGACAAAATATTAAGAGTCGAGGATAACAAGCTGAGACAAAAAGCCCTATCTCTTCAAGCGGTGCATTCAATTCCGATCAAATGAAACAACTTTATCAGATGTTCTCTAGCCTTCAAACATTCGGTTAGCCTTCCTTTAAAAGTCATTCTAGTTTGCTAGCCCACAAAGGTAACTTTCTAAAAGCTTCACACAGCTCAAAATTTAAAACTCCTTGGATTATTGACTCCGGTGCGTCCGATCACATGACGGACTCGTACCACCTATTCTCATCATACTCAACCTGCACTGGAAATGTTAAGGTGAAAATTGCAGACGGATCACTCTCATCCATTCCAGGAGAAGGAAGTATCCAAATATCAGAAACCATCACCCTAGAATCTGTCCTCCATGTTCCTAATTTATCTTGTAACTTGTAATCTATTGGTCAGCTAACAAAAACTTCCAACTGCTCGGCTAATTTTTTTCATCTTATTCCATCTTTCATGACCTTTCATCGGGGAAGACGATTGGCAGTGCTAAAGAGTGTGAGGGATTGTACTACTTCAAGGAAGCTAATGTGAGTAAACTAGGTCAACTTACAATTTGTAACTCTGCATCTACCTCTAGGGATAGTGAAATTATGTTATGGCACTATAGAATGGGTCATCCCAATTTTCCATACTTAAAACGTGTACTTCCCTCCGTTTTCTTGAATAGAACTGCAAGTGAATTTCAATGTGAAAGTTGCGAATTTGCAAAACATCAGCGAACAGTTTTCCCAAGTTCCACATACAAACCATCTAAATCATTTGCTATGATTCATAGTAATTTATAGGGACCCTCTTGAAATCCTAATCGCACCCATACAAAATGGTTCGTCACATTTATTGATGATCACACTCGGGTATGCTGGGTTTATCTACTTCAAGACAAAACTAATGTCCGTTTAGTATTTATAAATTTTCACTCAATTATCCAAACCCAATTTCAAACACAACTTCAAATACTACGCACTGACAACGACATAGAATACTTAAACGCCACTTTATAAGACTATCTAAAAAGACATGAAATAGTTCATCAAAATTCATGTGTCAACACTCCCCAACAAAATGGGATTGCTGAACGAAAAAATACACATCTTCTTGAAGTTGCTCGTGCCTTAATGTTCACTACAAATATGCCAAAAACATTCTGGGGTGATGCAATTCTCACATCGACATATCTAATCAATCGAATGCCCAGTTGTACCCTTTCCTTCGACATATCTATCCAACGATTCCAAAAATACTTTCCCACTTCCCGTCTTACCTCTAATCTACCTCTAAAAGTGTTTGGAAGTACTACCTTCGTTCATGTTCACTCCTATCATCGTAACAAACTCGAACCACATGCAATCAAGTGTGTGTTTATTAGGCACTCACCAAATGAAAAGGGATATAAATGCTATGATCCGTCTACACAAAAGGTCTTTGTCAGCCTAGATGTCACTTTCTTCGAGAACCTACCATATTTCCAAAAACCTTCTCTTTAGGGGGAGAATTCGATGGAAGATCGGTTCTTGAATAGGGAATTCTTAGATTTTGATCTTACCCCTAATGACCTAATTCAGAACCCGTCACTCTACTTTCTAATGTGTCATACACAAAAGGAAACTTGAACTTATGGGGAGAGGTTGAAAAACAAAGTGACAAGGAGATATTAGTTTACACAAGAAAGTCTAAATCGAAGCATGAAGAGATTCCCACACTTGAGGCACCAAGAGAGTCAGAACCGATGATTGGACCTGATGAGAACCCTTCCAATGAGTGTAGAAATCCAGATAATGATCTACCGATTGTTCTCAGAAAACAAACATAGTCATGTACTCTCCATCCTATTTCAAAATTCATTTTGTATAAAGCTCTATCTATTAGATTTCAGGCTTTGACGACTAACCTTGACAAAACAAAAATCCCAAAAAATATCCAAGAGACTTTGGAATCACCCATAGGGAAAGAGGCACTAATGGAAGAGATGAAATCTCTAAAGAAAAATGAAACTTGAGAAGTGGTAAACCTACCGAAAGGAAGCAGATTTGTGGGATGCAAATGGGTCTTCAATGTGAAGTACAAGGCCGATGGGACAATAGAACGCTATAAAGCTCGTCTAGTAGCAAAATGGTACACACAAACCTATGGCTTCGACTACACAGAAACATTTGCACCGGTAGCAAAATTAAACATAGTTCGTGTTCTCCTATCCCTAGCCGTTAATCTAGACTGGCCTCTTCAACAACTGGATATCAAGAACGCATTCCTGAATGGAGAACTAGAAAAAGAAGTCTATATGACAGTACCTCCGGGCTTTAATAACAAAAATGATGAAAATCAAGTGTGTAAACTTAAGAAATCTCTATACGGTCCCAAACAGTCATCAAGGGCATGGTTTGATAGATTTGCAAAGGTATTAAAAGCTCAAGGATACCAGCAAGGACAGTCTAATCATACTCTGTTCTTCCAACAATCGAGAGATGGGGCTAAGACAATCCTAATTGTGTGTGTTGATGATATAATCCTAACCGGGGACAACATGGCCGAAATGGAAAGATTGAAGAAGTGTTTAGCTAACGAATTTGAGGTGAAAGACCTGGGGCAAATGCAGTATTTTTTGGGTATGGAGATTGCAAGATCAAAGAAGGGTATTAGTGTTAAATACTTGATCTATTAGCTGAAACTGGTATGCTAGGATGCAAACCTAGCGACACACCTATCGAGGCAAGAAAAATGACAGAGGACACAGGGAACTCATTTGAAACAGATAGATACCAAAGACTAGTTGGTAAATTAATCTATCTCTCTCACACCAGACCTGACATTGCGTTTGCAGTAAGCAGGGTTACTCAACATATGCACACTCCCAAAGAGGTTCATCTAGAAGCAGTATACAAAATCTTTAAATACCTCAAAGGTACATCAAGGAAAGGATTACTGTTCGAAAAAAATAAAAGGAAAGGAATAGAAGTATTCATTGATGCAGACTAGGGTGGATCAGTTGATGATAGAAGATCTACCACTGGCTATTGCACGTTTGTTTGGGGAAATTTAGTAACCTGGAGAAGTAAAAAACAAAATGTTGTGGCTAGAAGTAGTGCCGAAGCTGAATTTAGAGCCGCAGCACAAGGAATATGTGAAGGTCTATGGTTAAAGAAACTTTTGGAAGAATTGAATGTAGAAATAGAATTTTCGATCAAACTCTATTGTGATAACAAAGCAGCCATCAACATTTCTCTAAATCCAGTACAACATGACAGGACCAAACATATAGAGGTGGACAAGATAAAATGGATGATGGGATTATCTGTATGACATGTACCTACAAAGGAACAAACTGCAGATATCTTTACCAAGGGATTGTCTCAACACACGTTTGATGACCTCAACTGCAAGTTGAACGTGATCAATAGCTACAGTCCAATTTGAGGAGGAGTGTAGGAAGAATGGAAATAATATAAATTATAGATTGTAATTTTAAGTCAATTGGTAGGGTGAATTACTTCCTTAATTAGCAGATTTTATTTTCCTTTTTTTCTCCCCTTTGTGTCATATAAATGAGATGTATTGGTGATGTAAATATTCATTGAGAAATATATCAAATTTTCCCTGTTCATATGGTATCAGAGATTTCAAGGCTTATCATAATCGTCTAGTCATGACAATCATCTAATGTCTTGGAATTTGGAAGTGAGAAGAAATATACTGGAAGTCATAAAACTTACTGGAAGAAATAAACTTTGCCATTCAAATGGACGAATGATGGGGATAAGAGACAACACTATAGCTGATAGAATGCCCTATAGAGATAGAAAGCATGTAGTTAGCCCCCTCAGTTGAAGAAAACAATTCCAATCATTTAATATAGTTCCATGAACAAACTTACTAGATTTGGGCACAACACGACCACTTGTTTTTCCAATAACACACCAGTAACCAATGCCAAAACCTGAACAACGTCACATTCATCAAACTCCAAACATTGCATGGACAACAATCAATTATCAGATTCAATGCACAAATAGAAATAATATATAAATTAGATTGCGTACTGATTCATAAAATTTGAAAAAATCATATGATGGAGAATGAGAAATGAAGATTTTTTTATAGAAACAGAACATGTTAACAAATAAATTCCTATTGAATTTGGAAAATTCTGTACCTTTCAAACTCAAATTTGTCCATAGCATGGCTGAATTCAAATTTCTCAATTCCAACAGCTAAATTTAAGCAATGGGTTCCTTTTCTATAAGTTAAACTTTATTTTTCATTCATATATAGCTTAGAAAAGAAAATATATCTCCAATAATAATTTCCCAAGCATGATTATATGAAAAAAAGGGAGGCGAAGTCTGAAGGGGAAGTATTGCACCCAGCCAGACAAATAATCCATCATGCTACTCCAAATACTGAGAATTGCATCTACCGCTTCACAGTTTCATAAAGTTCACTATCTTCTTACAGAACCAAGCACTTGTCAAGGATATGGAGTTCCCAGTGCAGTAAAACAATTTGGAGGCAAAATGTAAACACAGTAACTAGGTGTGTTATAAAGAAACGATGCAAATTTAGCAGAAACTGGCATCATGAACTCGAATACATGTGTACAAGTGATTGCCATCTTTCTTTACAAGTAGCATCACCAGAATCTTTAAGTATCTGAATCTATTAACACTTCAACCAAGGTTCAGCAGCCCTAATTTTGTTACCATATTTCGAAGGGTATTTTCTTATCAGACAAAGTAAATGATCATGAAAAACAATAAATTATCTTAGTGTGGTGAGAAGATAAACAAATAAGAAGCACAACTAGCAAAGTTAAAAGACATTACAGTTTCAAGGGAAAGAACTCGACATGTTGTAGCGATTGTCCATATAGCGAGTGAAACAGCTTCCTCAGCCGTTGCCAGTTTTAGCTTGACCTTCAAAATTTAAATGTATCAGTTACACTGCGTTCATCCTTCTACAGGCAAGTACCCCTGAAACTAGTAACTAACTCGTCCAACCTCAGCAGCTTCCTTGGAATCTTCAAGATTGAGATCTAGATACTTCTCATCCACTCCGAGGCCAGAAATTGGAGGTCGTTGATACTCAATGGCCTGTAGATGCTCCAGTGGCTGATAAATAATTACGCTTCCCCTCGGTGGAAGATTCATAGAATGATAACCACAAATTATCTGTAGTAAATCATTTTTATTCTCCTGTCATAGAGGTCAGAAAGAGAGATAGGAAGTGAGAAAGAAAATCTGAAAAAATAGAAATCCGAGTACCATTTAAGTTATTGGAAATAAATTTATGAACTCACCCTTGCCCATTCCAATATAATCTTATCCCCCAAATCTTTATCGCGGTTAAAGTAGATTTCATCATCATCATCCTCTGACGCAATAGATCTAGCTGAACTGCCAAAAGAAAATTAAATATTTACATAAAAAACAGCCATATAATTTTGTTAAAAGGCACATCCATGCGAGCAACAAGTCCAAATGCAGTGTTATGTAAACTGGACTAAGCTCACTGTAACTGTAGAAGAAGCTAATATAAAAAGGAAATCAAATATTCTACAACCTGAATATGGACTCAAAACTTCCGAGACGCTCCAATGTGTGGTTCCTTGGGCAGACATCGGGCCCAGCCTGTGGAGGGTGGCCATTGTCATCAACTTTGTATATCCCTTCTACAAACTGATTTTCTAAGGAATCAGGGGTACAATCCCCAAAATAATGCATATTTTTTCCGTCATCCTTATCCAAGTCTCTCACTTCACCTTGATCTAATGTCCCACTGGCAGTACCACTGCCAGAAGAACCTATCTCCCATCTTGATGATGGGACCTTGTCATCTGCTATAATACCTGCTGCAGCAGCAGTAAGGACCATTGCGCTGTCAACAGGTATTGCTGAAGCCATCCAGTCTGTGTCATTTTCCATACAAGGGGAGTCACTAGTTCCAGATGGTGAAGGTACATGATCGGAAAGAGACATTTCTGTTACAAACTGTGTTATCCGATTCAGACGCTCCTGCGCAATGATGCTGCACATGCAATCAATTGTATGTGTGCACATAATTTTCCATAAAAAGGAATGACAAAAGAAATATTAGAGTTAATCAAGAGGACATTCAATCAGCATATTAAAGAGATCAAAATTATTAATGAAACTAATGTTGACCTGTTCAATATCTCATAGTGTAACTCAAAGAAAGGCACTCTTGTTAAGATACAATAACAGCGAGCTGCAGAAGCCAAAAACCGACTGCAGCCAACAAGTGATTGGGAAAGGGGCGATGAAACTCCAGAACCAGCAGGTGGTCTCTGAACAAATTCTTGTACGTGCAAGCAAACACCATAAAGTGTTGCGTTGTCTGCCACCTATGAAAAGGCAAAAGAATGTTTTTGGCCAAACAAGTTAACATATGTACCAAAGCATGCAAATTGAATCAAATAGTACCTTTTCGGTTTGAGGGAGTGGCAGGGGAGTGAGAAGAAGCAGATTTGCATGTATGTGAAAAGTAAATGAAGCATTTCTGCTTAAGAGCCAGTCTAAGGTATGTAGAAAAAGAATGTTATTTCTCAAGAACACACAAGCATAAGGTGTCCGAGAAGTAAAAGAAACATCTTCCTTTCACAAAATGCCAGTTCAAGGAATCTTGTGATGAATATAGTAACTTCATAATAATTGAAGATTTTAGAGAGGAAAACTCTAATTTTTATTCACTTATTTACAAAGAAATAAACTAGGACATTTATAGGAAATCCCTTACTACAAGCTGTCACTAGATCTCTTTAATTTTAGCTACAGTTGGAACAAATGGAGAGAATCGCTCTTTTATTTAAATAGAAAAACAAATCAACATAAAATCAGAAACTGATTAGGAACAAATTTTGGAATTCCATACTTCCCCTCTAGCTGGGGAATAGATGTCAATCATTCCCAGCTTAGATGTAAATTCTTCAAACTTTATTCTTGGAAGGGCTTTTGTCAGAATGTCAGCAACCTGAATATGTGTAGAGATGTAGACCAAGTTTAGTATCCCTTCTTCTACTTTTTCTTTAATGAAGTGACGGTCTAATTCTACATGCTTAGTCCTATCATGATGAACGGGATTTTTAGCAATACTGATTGCAGCCAAATTGTCACGGAGTACCTTTATTGGCTCTTTTGTTGAGATTTTTAACTCGTCTAGTAATCTTTTTAGCCATATTCCTTCATATATACTCTGAGTTAATGCCCTAAATTCTGCTTCGACACTACTCCTTGCAACAACAGATTGCTTCTTGCTACACCAAGTGACCAAGTTACCCCATACATAAGTGCAATAACCTGTGGTTGATCTCTTGTCTGTAATGGAACCTGCCCAATCTGCATCTGAGTAGACTTCAACTTCCTTACTCCTTCCTTTCTGAAAGAAAAGTCCTTTACTAGGAGTCCTTTTCAAGTATCGAAGAATTCGATAAACTGCTTCAAGATGTTCTTCATCGGGTTTGTTCATGAATTGGCTTACAACACTAACTAGAAAACCTATGTCAGGTCTTGTGTGAGATAGATAGATGAGTTTTCCTACAAGTCGTTGATATCTTCCTTTGTCAACTGGAGGACTTTCTTCCTTAAACCCAATTTTATAATTTGATTCCATAGGAGTGTTAGCGTGCTTGCATCCTAACATTCCAGTTTCTTTCAATAGATCCAAGATGTACTTACGTTGGGAAACAACTATTCCTTTCTTTGAACGCGCCACCTCCATGCCTAGAAAGTATTTAAGTTTTCCTAGGTCTTTGATGTCAAATTCTTTAGCAAGAACCTCCTTTAAATAGTTTATTCCTTCTATATAATCTCCTATCATAATAATGTCGTCTACATAGACGATGAGGATGGAAATCTTCCCACTAGAAGAGAATTTTGTGAACAGGGTATGATCAGCTTGTCCCTGGGAATACCCATACTTTTTTACTGCTTTTGAGAACTTATCAAACCACGCTCTAAAAGATTGCTTGAGACCATACAATGATTTTTGAAGCTTGCAAACCTTGTTAACATTATTTTCTGTCTCAAAGCCGGGTGGAATTTTCTTGTACACTTCATCTTCCAAATCGCCATTGAGAAAAGCATTTTTTACGTCCAATTAATGGAGGGGCCAATCTAGATTGGCTGCCAAAGATAGTAATACCCGTACAGTATTGAGTTGGCAACAGGAGCAAAAGTCTCTTGGTAGTATATGCCATATGTTTGAGTGAAACCTTTAGCAACAAGCCTTACTTTGTATCGATTTATACTTCCATCTGGATTATACTTGAGAGTAAAAATCCACTTGCATCCCACTAGTTGTTTCCCTTCTGGTAAATTTGAAAGTTCCCAAGTTCCATTTCTTTTTAGAGTATTGATTTCTTCTCCAATGGCAGCCTTCCATTCTGGTTTCCCTAGAGCATCATGAACACTGTGTGGTATTTCTACACTGGACAGATTAGTGACAAATGCTCGATATTCTGTGATAAACCATCATAAGATACAAAATTGCAGATAGGATGCAGAGTACATGATCTCACACCTTTCCTTATTGCAATAGGAACATCAAGATCATTATTGACAGTAATATCAGTTGCAGTTTCAGTTTCATAAGAAATATTACCTGGACTATTTCGAACCAGATTGGATTCATGGTTTTCCATAGGAAGTGTGTGGGTCTTTCGGGTCTTTTAATCCTTGAATAAACACATAGCTCTTTGTCAACTGCAGGTTTAGAATGGATTGGGATGACACACTCATGGTTACTGGGCAAATTATGTTTTGTTTCCGAAGGAATGAAGTTGGTGATTGGCTCGACTTCTGATGGGATGGAGGTGTTTGGTCTGACTTCTAATGGAATAGAGGTATTGGGCTCAACTTCAGATGGAGAGGTGTTTGGTCTAATTTTTGATGAAATGGAGGTAATGGGCTCAGCTTTAGATAGAGAGGTGTCTATATCAAATAAAAAATTACATTCTTGTACAGATGAGTTCTCTCCCTAAATGTGAATTTTTGGGTAATATGATTGGTTTTCAAAAAAGGTGACATCCATAGAAGTATAAAATTTTCTAGTGATGGGTGAATAACATTTGTAGCATGTTTTAGTGGGAGAGTAACCAAGAAAAATACATTTGATGGCCTTCGGGTCAAGTTTGCTTCGGTGTTGCTCATGAATATGTACAAATGCTTGACAACCAAATATTTTTAATGGTATGGATGACGTTATTCGTGAATCTGGATAGGAAAGGAGAAGGTTTTGACAAGGTGTTTGGAAGTTTAGAACTCTTGATGACATTCTATTGATGAGGAATGTGGCTATGAGGGCCGCTTCTCCCCAAAATTGTTTAGGGACATTTGTAGTGAACATAATAGATCTAGCCACTTCTAGAATATGTCTATTTTTCCTTTCTGCTAACCCATTTTGTTGGGGTGTGTCGACACATGAGCTTTGATGAATTATCCCATTCCTATCAAGATACTCGCCAAGTATAGAATTGAAATAGTCTTTGGCATTATCGGTTCTAAACACTTTTATTTTTGTTTGGAATTGAGTTTGGATCATGCTAGCAAAATTTTTAAAGATAGGGCCAACCTCTGATTTTTCTTTCATTAGGTATATCCAAGTTATCCTAGTATGATCATCAATAAATAACACAAACCACCGAGTGCCTGTGATATTTTTGACTCAAGACGGTCCCCATATGTCACAATGAATGATTGAGAAAGGCTGGGAAGTTTTGTACCCTTGGATTGGATAGTGATTTTTCACATGTTTGGAGAGTTGACACACTTCACATTGAAAGAACTCGGCATTGCTATTATGAAATAATGTAGGAAATAACCTTTTTAAATACAAGAAATTGGGATGACCTAATCAATAGTGCCACAACATGATTGCGCTATTTTTATTAGACAAATTTTGATAAACAGAAAGCGACATACTACTTGCAGTTTGAGCTTGTTTAGGATTATTAGGACTTTTGAGGAGATAGAGCCCTGCACATTCCTTAGCATTGTCAATCATCCTCTTTGATTCCAATTCCTAAAATTCACAATGATCGGAGGAAAAATTAGCGATACATTTCAGGTCCTTGGTAAGCTTGCTAATGGACAATAGATTGCAAGTCAGATTTGGAACCAAGAGAACTGAATTTAGAGTTAAGTTATCTGCAATAATAACAGATCCAATTCCAGCAACCTTAGATAATGATCCATCAGCAATTCGAACCATAAAATTCTTAGAAGTTGGGGCATATTTGTGAAACAGATTAGCATTACCAGTCATGTGATCCGATGCACCGGAGTCAACAATCCATGAGCTGTTTTTCTCCATTTGAGTACTCAAAGCAGTTGAAAAGTTACCTGTTTGAGCAACAGATCCAGAAACTGTGGAATTGGGAAGAGAAGAGGATTGTTAACTAATCAATTTCTTCAGTAACTCAATTTGCTCAATACTAAAAAGGTCGGTATCTGGTGCAGGTTTTTCTCCTCCAGTGGACATGAAGCCACGGCTTTCAACAGCTACTTTCGATTTCCAGTCAGCCAGCTTTCCATGTAGTTTCCAGCAAGTGTCCCTTGTGTGTCCTAGTTTCCTGCAGTGGTCACACCAGGGTCTTCCTCCTCTTCTTTGACGGCTGTTATCATTTGGTAAATTATTTGCATGGCTTGCCATAAGAGTAGAACTCTCACTCAGGTTTGGTGAGACTTGGTTTCCCATCATAATCTTCTTTCTGCTTTCCTCTCTTCTGACCTCAGAAAATACTCCTCTGATCGGAGGAATTGGCTTCATTCCTAGGACTCTTCCTCTTACTTCATCCAGATTTTTATCAAGACCAAATAAGAATTTGAAAATTCTGTCCTTATCGACAATCTTTTTGTACTTGAGACTACATTCTGACATTCTGAACAGCCAAGTTTAGCATCATCAAAAAGGTCTAGTTGCTACCAGTATCTATTTAAAGTATTAAAATATTGTGTAACAGTAAGTTCCCCTTGACGGAGATCATTTAGGATACCTTTTATCTCAAATAATTCAGAAGTGTTTTCATTATCTGAGTAGGTTTCCTTAGCTGCATCCCAGATTTCCTTAGCGGTCTTATAGTACATGAAGTCCTCTCCGATTTCTTTGGTCATGGAATTGATTAACCATGACATCACCATGCTGTTTTCTGACTCCCAGACCTTATATTTTGGATCTTCCATCGAAGGTGTAGGCCTTGCCCTAGTTATGAAATCATCTTTTCCCTTCCCACAGATGAATAGCATGATTGAGTGACTCCATTGGAGGTAATTATTTTCACTCAGCTTATGCCCAGTGATAGGCATAACAAAGCTATCAGATTCGCCATTAATGTTGGAAGGGGTGTCTTCTTGGTTGGAAGTTACATCAATTGAGGAGGAAGTGGCTCGAATTGCCATTCCGATTTTTACCATTTCAATGGATACAGATCAAGCTCTGATACCATGAAGATTTTAGAGAGGAAAACTCTAATTTTTATTCACTTATTTACAAAGAAATAAACTGGGACATTTATAGGAAATCCCTGACTACAAGCTGTCCCTAGATCTCCTTAATTTTAACTACAGTTGGAACAAATGGAGAGAATCACTCTTTTATTTAAATAGAAAAACAAATCAACATAAAATTAAAACTGATTAGGAACAAATTCTGGAATTCCATAATAATAATCAGTCATACGTGGTCTTGGTGTGCATTTTAACTGAAAAAACCTAGATCACATCACATATAAATGCAACTCCTTGTCAAACTACTGCTTCATGGTTTAGCTTTCCAGTCTTAGAATGTCAAAAATGTGGTCAGCGTTTTGCTTTTGACATAATTAAAATAGAAACAGAATGCAAGGAGGATTCTGAAGAAAATCTGACCTACATTTAATGACATCACCTACGAAGAGAGTTGCATTATACTCCACCATCAAGATAAGTTTCTTTCAGATTCTAAAAGTACACACCTCATTCCATTTAAAGAATGCTCTTTACTTATATACTAGTGTAGTCTTGTTATTTTAGGCAACATAAGAACTTATAACATCGAAAATTCAAAACAACTAGACTGACTAAAGATCAGACATCCAACGCCATCTCCTTAATACAGAACATTTCTTCGACACAATGGCACTAATGCAAACAAATTGGTTTGCCACGAGATAACTAGAGGAAATCATTAACAATCTCAGTTCTTTGTCTCAATCATTACTTGTGTTAATATTTACTCAAACCGTGTACAAGTCCATAAAAAAATTTAGCCTAGTAAACTTTGATTGACACAACATCTTAATTACCTAATAACCATGACGACGACAAAAAAGTAATTTTATTCTTAATAAATTTAGACGCAGCTAATTCCCTATAAAACCAGGAAAAATTTCCCAACAATTCTGATTAGCATTGAACATAATCTTCATTATCGCAGTTCAAAAACACATAACCAAATGTCCAAAGTCCATTAAACTGGTTCCCAACAAGCTTGTGCTTCATCCAGTTATTAAATGAATCAATTTATGAGTCAAAAAGTTGATCCTGTGGACCATTTACAGAATATTTTGCACAGTGCACAAGTTTTGCATAGCCCAGAGCATTTCACTTCATAAAAGTTTGTTTCAACATCACTCCAATTAAAACCCTAATCCCTGTCGCTAGGACTCAATTATATGTTTATGAGTCAAAAAGTTGATCCTGTGGACCATTTACAGAATATTTTGCACAGTGCACAAGTTTTGCATAGCCCTAAGCATTTCACCTCATAAATGTTCTTTCAACATCACTCCAATTAAAACCCTAATCCCTGTCACTAGGACTCAGTTACATGTGGGTGTCCGTCTGTTAGTCAACCAAGGATGCGATCAAATTCATGACCTAGGCATAGGGGAAAGATAGTATTAATTATTTTCACAAGGGTATGTGGAGACATTATTTGTGGAAACATTATCGCCAGGGTACACAAATAAGACCCAAGAAAAATTGACTATGAGAAAATACAATGAGATAAGAAATCTTCAAATTAGTTGACTAGAATTGACCAAAATGCCCATATTGATCAATAATTTCTAATAGATGCATTCACAAGCTGAAGAAAGCTTTGAAGCTGTCCCCCAAAATTCTCTAGGCACCTAAAAGGAGCACCAGGTCAAGGCTTGTCGTTTGAAAATGGAGTCATTACAGCTTGAAGTTGTGCCAGCAGAGAAGACATTCTCAAAAGCAGCATATATATATAAAGCAAGGGCTGGTACCCAATATCCATATCTACATAAGGTGTCAGTCTTCAGAGTACCAAGAATACAAAGATCACCCAATGAATTTAAGGGGAGGGGAGCAAGCAGAATACATCACAACGTAAAAAGTTAAACTACATTTTCATGTCATGAAAGGATATGCAAGAGAATCAAACCATCAATATGTAAGATTTATGAAAATATCAATGTACGAGGGACTTATTGGGCTTAAAGAAAAGCAACACGGAATCTCAGACAGAGAAATCATAATGGACTTACCTTAAGCGAAAATATAAACGATAAATCATCTCGAGATAAGTGCTCCTGAAGACAAAGTACCATAAATATTATAAGTTCAAAGGAGGAGGAGGAGGAGGAGGAGAAAAGGGGAGAAAAGATGAGACAATTCTTTTCTTTTTCACTTCCTCTTTCTCTTTTAGGGCATTCAGAAAGTATTTGTTCAAACCATAATATAAGTATGAAACTGACAGAAGTATATCAACTTCCAGGTCTCTGTGGTGAAAGGAGGATAAATAGAATGGATACATAAAAAATTTCTGCATACCTGTCCATAGACAAGCTCATTCAAGTCACTTAATGATGGCGTCCTTTCCGGTATGCGTGCCTAAATTGAACAGTGAAGAAGTTAGAATGAGGTAATGAAGATGAAATCTTTTGGCATAGTAGATGTATTTTACATAATATTATAAGTTTATGCCAATGCCCGATGAAGAACAGCAAGTTTCCAAAGTAGAACAAGTTAACCAAACCACCAAGAATTAAAATTCATTAGTCATAATAACGTGGTGTGAAGCTACATTCCAGCAAGGTATATCAGGAATATTAGTGTACCATAAAGTAAATAACTCGTCAAACCAACAACAGTATTAGTAGTACCCATTAGGATGCCTCAATACTGGGGAGTTTTTTTCTCTTCTGATAAATGTCAGTTTCTTATACAATGGACACGGTGTGCAAGACAAAGATGATCACAGAATGTTTAAAGCTAGAGTAAACACATTAACAACATTTGAGTAGCAAAAGAAACCTAAGCCCCAACCTCCATGCTACCACTAATTATCCATCCCAATAACACACTGACATAGAAATTGTAGAATTGGTGATATGCACTAACATCTATGGAACAAGGGGACTTTTTTTATTGCACAAAACAGCATATTTTACGCTCGGGAAAAAACAGAAAGGTCAACATTGTTTGGAGGCATCAAACAATTCTTAATGGAAACTTAAGAAGAAAGTTGTTCACTGTGGGCTGTGTTGCTCGAACTCAGGTATGGGTATCAGGCTTTGGTTCTTTTTCTTCTTAAATCTAGAAAAAAGGGACAAAAGGATCCAAAATTTAGATACAGATACAAAAGTACGTCTTTAAACATAAAATTAATTTACTTTTTATGTAAAAATAAAATATAATTTTAAATATATTTATTTTTATTTCTTATGAAAAAGTCAAAACTCTTTTTAATTGTAAACACAAAATGTAAAATTTATAATGGTAAAAAATGAAAATACAAAGATTAGTTCGATTAGAATGATTCTTCATGTCCACTTCTACTAATGAAACTAAAACCCTTTTTAATTGGAAACACAAAATATAAAAGTTATAATAGTAAAAAATGAAAATACAAAGACTAATTCAATAAGAATGATTCTTCATGTCCACTTCTACTAATGAAATTAATTTAAATTTCATTTCTAGTTCATTTGACTCCACCAATTAACTAAACCCTTTGTAAAGCATGAGCTTGACATATACTAACCTTAACACCTCCAGGAAAGCAAAACGCTGCCAAATCCTTAGGGCGCAAAGCCAGCTTCTCTCCTGGGGGATACTTAAAGAGTACCTGTAGAGAAATTGAAAATATTATCGTTCAAAATGGATGGTAAAATACTTCAGTTGAAATAAAGAGAAACTTTGTGTGAATGATGTTAAATTAATCAAACGATATCCCAAAAAGAAATAAATGCACACTTAAAATCCTGGAACAAGGATCAAGTTCACACCCAACACCATTTCCAGGAAAAAAAAATTAGCAACAGCTTAGAAAATTACTCTTTCATACATTACTACATGCTAAGAAAGGGCTGGGAACATGGCACCTCCAAAGAAATAAGTACACAAGTACAATAAACTAGTCTTATCCCTAATAAATTGAGGTCACCTACATAAATCCTTTTTTGCTTGGAAAAACTAGTTCTTCAATACATAATTTTTTTTTTTTTTTTTTTTTTATAGGAGTTCTTCAATACATAAAATTAGAGAATATAATGAGAAGTTGGCCGGTAAAACAGTTAACATCATTATAAAGCAACCAAACCTGAGGTTCCAATATTGGAAGTGTAGGTCGTCTATACTGCAGCATATTGAAATCAAGCATTTCAGTTCTTGCCATTTCCTGCTCCCATTTCTTCTTCTTGACAAATGCATCCTCAACTGCCTCAAGATTGGCATCTGGTTGAAGCCCAGCAATGATGAAGTGTTCAAAAAGTGAGGTGGGCTCCTTATATTTCTCAAGGTCCTACATGACAGACTCATCTGATGTAATTAATCCAACTACAGTAACCTCAATCTTCGGAAACAGCATCTAACGAACAATTAACAACAACATAAAGAATAACAATAAAACCATGAATGCGTGATATAGAGTACAACAGGGACGATAATTAGAAAAAGCAACATCACAATTTTCATAACCAATTTCGAAAATGGATATCAAAGCCAGCATTCATACATGTACTATTGAAATTTATAAAAAAAAGGAACTCCGGACTACGAAGATTTTGTTATATCAAATTAATGGAACCACTAATAACCAATAGATCGTAGTGTTACTGTGGAACACATCTTTATAAATTTCGAATTCAACAAAAAAAATTTAAGGATCATTATATGGTTGAAGAAAGACCATATTATGTCAGTGACAATAAACAAAAATCTGTAGGTTTAAATATGAATCTCGTGAAATGACAAAAGTACAATCGAGCTCACAGAAGCAGGAGGAAACTAAAAAAGAATGAAAGTATGTCAGCAAGATTGGATGAAACACTAATAGGGCGATTGGATGAAACACTAAACGGGCGAGAGAGTGGGAATAAACAGGAGTTTGAAAAGACAGAACGAATTCATATTAGAGAACGGTGTAGGTCTTATTTTCAGACGTAATCCTAAAACTTAATGTCATGTGAACCGAGAAGCATATTTTCACACCTATAATAATAAATCACAAGATAAACGAAAGAAAACTAAGGTTTCACCACCATGATGTTGCATACCAAGGTTTTGGAATGAAGCTGATACCACTGCCGTTTCTGATTTGCCAGAATTTCTGGATCAAAAGAAAAATGCTCGCTATCACGAGAACTGCAGTTACCCCAATGTAAAGCCCTTTGCATCTGAGACTTCCATTTCTGAAAATTACTACAGCTAGCATTACGCCCATAAAACGATGTCACTACTTCACTATGGGCACGCCTATGCCCAGGCATCAAGGGCGGCAGAGCATTCGAGTTCGTACAACCTGAAACATTACGCAATGCCGCACTTGATGCTCTCACTGCCTCTTCAGAGAGATGCTGTACCACCTCAATTGGTGACGCAGGCCTTGGCCACTCTTCTGGCATATCAGCATTTTCCTTCACATCCATTTCCATGGCCTAATTATAACAATGCTTACATTCATTCACACGCATCCCCTTAATCCGCAGTTCTGATAAAATTCATGAAGAACCCCGCATCTCAGGCTATAAACACAACAAGTAGATAAGTATTCTTCACCATGAAAAGAGGTATATGCTTTGAATATTTACACTAAATCCATCACCAATTAAGTTATATTATTCTCTGATCCTTGAATTTATAAAACACGGACCACCCTTTAGCGTTCATTATTTACAGATACAATGATTCCCCTGCAAGAAAGATTGCAAAACAAATAACAGAAATAATCAAAATGGCTACTTTTCAAACAAAATCATCATCCAATTTATCTCACTTTTTTCTTTCTAAATTTTTCAATAATGCATGAAAATTGTGCCAAAAATAAGAAATTTCAGAAATTTGCATATGCATTCGAGAATATAATTCAAAAACAGAAATAATCAAAATGACTACTTTTCAAACAAAATCATCATCCAATTTATCTCACTTTTTCTTTCTGAATTTTTCAATAATGCTTGAAAATTGTGCCAAAATTAAGAAATTTGCATGTGCATTCGAGAATATAATTCAAAAAATTGTGGGTTCTTCAATCTTCACAAATGCATGAAGAATTTAAAACCCTATTATAATTCCATTTATTGTACATGCTCAATCATTGATTAACGCATGAGATGTAATTTTTTTCCATGACACTATCGCAGATGATACAAACAGAGTAATGCATACAAAATAACAAAAATTGTGATCCGTGTACCGCTTCCAGCCGGCAGGCCGTGTTCTTTGTAATTTTTCGCTGTAATGGTTTTCGGTTCAATGCTTATGCGCGCGCGTGTGTGTATACGTGCGAGAGAAAGAGAAGGAGAAGGAGAAGCGAGGTGTGGGGTGGCGTGGGTTGGGCGAAGTGTCGGGTAAACAGGGGCATGCACAAGAGGAAGAGAGTCTTAGGACAGTGTAGGGTACATTTGACTCTTTTGGGTCAACCCAACATTGACGACCCCATCGTCCCGTTTCTAGAATTTTGTGAGGAAGTTAAATCCCGAAATGTGTCTCAACAGGTTAGGGAACAAGAGTTGTATATACACTGCGCCTACAATATATTTTTGTGCAAAATGTTCATACCTTTTATTTTTTAACAATTTTACTCTCATTTTCACCTTTCATTGCCGAAAAAAACCTTTCATCTACCCATCATCAAATACTCCGTTAATTTAATCAAGGTTAATTAGCACAAAATGTCTTCATCTTTTAACGTTTTTGTACAAAGCGTTTTTACCTTATATTTTTTGACACTTTCAGCTTTACCTTTACCTTTCATTATGGAAAAAGCTTCCATCCACCTATCGTTAAATACTTCGTTAAATCAATAAAAAATGCAATTTTTCTTTTCAAAAATCAAGGGGTGAGTGAAGTGCCCTACTTCTATCTCACGGGTAGTGGTAGTGTAGTTGGACTATTGATTCTGGTAAAGGAACCCTATCAAGTAAAGGCCAGGCGAGGAGTGATAGAATAGCAAGCAGGATCGCTTACCTTGATGCCTACAGCTCAATTAGTTTCCAGCGATAGCAAGAATCTGCAAAAATACAGCTCTTTTTTTTTTCTTTTTGTGTTGTTTTTGAATGGTATCACAGCTACCCAATTTTGTATTGACCATCTTCCCGCCTTCAAAGTTAATTATTCAAAATTAAAAGTAATATGAAAATAATTTATACAATTATTCCATTAAATAAATAAGAAATGACTTAAAGAACGCTATATTTCACGTCGAGAAGAATAATGACTACTGTAATATTGGATTACTCATTAAATTTGGAATGGTGGATGAAAAGATTGAATATGTGGTCGATAAGCTGAAAATATATATCCCCATTTGTGCTTATTAAGTGCGTAAATAAGGGTAAAATAAAAATAATAATGTCAAATGTGATGCTGTAAATATTATCAGATTTCAATGGTTAACGGCCCATCGCATATGAATGGAGAACTTGAACTGGACCTATTCTTTCTTTTTAGCATGAAATTGAACTTGTTATAACTATACTTACTTATTAATACATTCTACGTGTAACAACCCTATCTTTTAATATATTCTGCAAAAAGCATTCCTACCTTTAAAATTAAGTCGCGTAAAACATCCATACTTTTATAAAACGAAAGGTAGGACCATTTTGCACAAAAAATTGAAAGGTGGGGAAGTTTTGTGTTAATTAGCCTTTTTGTTAAGTTAATAGAGCATTTGATGGTGGGGTGGATGAAATGATCTTTTCCGCAATGAATGGTGAAAGTAAGGGTGAAATTGTCAAAAAATAAAATTTAAAAACGTTATGCATAAAAACATTGAAAGGTCTGGACATTTTTGTGCTAATTAGCTTTTTTTGTTAACTACAATGCACTAAATAAGTAAGTATGCCCATTCATCCTATATAGCCTTTTTGTTAAGTTAATAGAGCATTTGATGGTGGGGTGGATGAAATGATCTTTTCCGCAATGAATGGTGAAAGTAAGGGTGAAATTGTCAAAAAATAAAATTTAAAAACGTTACGCATAAAAACATTGAAAGGTCTGGACATTTTTGTGCTAATTAGCTTTTTTTGTTAACTACAATGCACTAAATAAGTAAGTATGCCCATTCATCCTATATAGACCGTAAGCAACTTGGGCTAAATTTGAAAAAGGTAAATTTCTATTTCTAAATGTGTGGTTATTAATCGATTTATAAGAAAAATACTTATTCTAAAAGTAATTTATTTTTAGTTATAGGGTTGTTTGATAAAATGTTAGGGCATGTTTGGTATGATTTTCGTTTCTTCTTGTAGAACAACTTTCTAAAAAAGCAACTTTAGATCACTTTTCTTTTAAAACTCTTATAACCAGATAAAGTACATTCAAAAAAATATCAAGACATGTTCAAAATTGATTTTTTAATTTTGAAATATCTTTTAACTCTTCAAAAGTCATGCAAAGGGTCATAAAATTAATGAAACATATTATTGAAAAGGTAATAAAAATTGTGATTTCAATAAAAATGTATGGTTCAAAATGAAATTTGACCAGTTAAAAAATTGATAAAATTTATCAATGACAATCACTAGATCCAATGTAGACTGATTAAAAAAAATCAATTACTTATTACATGTTAAAATTTTAAGCTTAGCCCCTCCCTTTTTATTTCTTCTTCCGTACGTTGAGCATGAGCGCACGACCCTTTTTCACGGAATCCCACAAAATCTGCACATGCAATAGGCTGCCTAAAATATATAAATAATTATTATATATATACATATATTTCTTGAGAATTGTTCATTATCTTTAATTTCTATATGAACATTCTCGCAGGCTATAAAGTTGACCTAATTTCTCTATAAGGACTAAGTACGAACTGTATTATATAAAGGAAAAATTACGGTACAATCTCAAATCTTCTATTTTATTATAAGCATCCATGTCATTAAACCTTTCAATTAATTGCAGTTGGAGCATAAATGATGAATTTCATCTGATCATTAGTTGAACAAAAAAAGTGAACTTTTACCATATTTTGACCAATTTAAAAAGAGAAAACAAAAAAACACAATTATTTAATAATTAAATAATAAAACTAAAACTTAAACTAAAATTGAAATGCGCTCCCCCCACACACTGACACTCATGGATACTCCCAACCTGTCTCTTTTCAACTATGTTACCTCGGTGTACAACCTCCTCACATTAATTGGGCATGGGCCCCTCCCCTCATGTGAGAGGAGTGTATGCTCGATGTACTAGGACATTATTCTTATCTTTTCCCTTAAATTCATTGGCACCATCGCTGCCTCCAGGGGCGGACCCAAGACTATTTTTCAGTGGGGGCGAAAAAAAAAAAAAAAAAAAGAGCTAACATATATTGTGAAAGCAAAAGAATATTTTGAGAATCAAACTCGGGGTTTCCTAGTTCCTACATCTAAAGCAATAATAACCATTGGATCAGATGCCCAACATTTGTCTAGAAATTTTTCTCAAGATATTTGAAAATTCAGTGGGGGCGACAACCCCCTGTGGGCCCTTAATGGGTCCACCCCTGGCTGCCTCCATTGCGATAGCCTCGGAGCATAGGGAAGCAGCAATCCAATTATCCCTAAAATTGTAGAATGCTACAATCAAACTAATAGAGCGAGTGCAAAGTGGATGCAATTCTAGGAACTTAAAAGTTGGCCATTATGGAACAAAAGATGTCGGAACTACAAGTCCATTCCTTAGCCACTCCTATATACCCACTTCCACTCAAAATATAATTTTGCACTTTCTTATTTATTAAATGGGGGTCTGCAATTTTGATGCAGAAATCACATTTCATGTCTAAGTTGTTGAAGCTATTTAAATAAATAAATTTATTATAAAGTCTACTTAAGCGATCTAAACATGCTTTAATCAACAAAATAACATTTAGATCAATGTGGAATAAATTGGATTGAAAAACGTACCTCCCGCCATTGTCGTTGTTCACACACTTTCTCAAACTTGTAGGTGGTGTTTAACTTCGGGTTAAGGCTCTTCTAAACCCTCTTTCTCATTGCTTAGATGGTGTATGCAGACTGAACGTGAAAATGAGCTTAGGAACCTTCCAAATGAATCTCAACGCCTTTAAAATGCTCTTCCCATCACAGAGCGGTTATGCACGTCCATGGGTGATTACCAAATATGATTTTAAATGTTGGGTTAACTACTTTCATAGTGGGATATGAGATATGTGGACCACTCTTAAGTTGGTTATGATCCAACATTCTCCCACTTGGTCCATATATACCATCATTCATCATAATAAGAAACATAATACATGAATCATAGTGATAGGTCCTCTAAAGCGAGTATTATCTTCCATGTATCACAGTATATCATGTCTCTTAAACACCAACTCGTATGACTTAATGAATAAACCCTATGTTTATTCAAGGTCCAAACTTAATGATATTTCGCAAGGTAAATGAATATACAAATATGCGCATAAATCAAATGAGAAAACATCGACTGAATAAGAGTTTCATTAAAACATCAAATGTACGTACAATAAAATTACATCACGGAACCAAGTCTCATTCTCGTGACATGATCCTTAAAATTCTTTGGTGGCATGCCTTTAGTCAAAGGATCAGCAATCATTAACTCAGTGCTAATGTGCTCAATGACCACTTTCTTCTCCTTAACACGTTCTCTAATGACTAAGTATTTAATATCGATGTGTTTATTTCGACTACCACTCTTGTTGTTCTTAGCCATAAACACAGCAGCTGAATTGTCACAGTACAATCTCAATGGCCTAGAAACTGAATCAATTATTCTAAGCACAGACATGAAACTCTTCAACCATACACCATGTGAGGTAGCCTCAAAACAAGATACGAACTCAGCCTCCATAGTGAAAGTAGCAGTCAAGGTCTACTTCGCGCTTCTCTAAGATATAGCTCCACCTGCAAGCATGAAAATGTAACTAGATGTTGATTTTTGTGAATCAACATAGCCAGCAAAGTCTGCATCCGAGTAGCCAACCACTTCCAGATTGTCAGTCCGTCTGTACATAAGCATGTAATCTTTGGTCCCCTGAAGGTACCTCCTCACTTTCTTTGCAGCTCACCAGTGGTCCACGCCTGGATTACTCTGATATCTTCCTAGCATTCCAATAGCAAATGCAATGTCAGGTCTGGTACAGACCTGAGCATACATTAGGCTTCCAATGGCTGAAGCATATGGAATGTTTTTCATCTGAACCTGCTCGAGCTCATTTTTGGGACATTGAGTTAGGCTGAACCTGTCATCCTTCAAAATGGGTGCTACACTAGGCGAACAGTCTTTCATCCGAAATCTCTCTAAAACTTTGTTAATATAGGTCTCTTGAGACAAACCTAAAATGCCTTAAGATCTTTCCCTATGGATCTTAATGCCAATGACATAAAATGCCTC